TTCCGTTCATGGTAGAAAATACTAATTACCCTTTCCCAATGCTGGGTTGTATATAACGTGATAAAAGAAGTTCTTTAATTTCATTTTTATATCCGCACATTATCTCAGTCTATATATACACCACGCCTATTTAAATCTCTCAATCATTTATACCACTTAATCTTGTGTAAAAAAAAAAAAAAAAAAAAAAAAAACGTCTCTCCCTTTATCATCTTCTTCCAATCTGTTTACAATCTGTATTTCTTCCATTCAAATCCATTTACCTTTTTAAATTTCTATGTCTTAAAAATCTCTTACTTTATTATCTTCTCACATTCTCTCACTCTTTTGTTTTCCTCTCCTTTAAATCATCTCACTTCCTTTCAATCACAAATTCTCTCTCTTCATCACCTTCTTATATTCTTGCAATCTTTATCTGAGTCTTCCTGTCAAATTAAATCACTCTATCATACATCTCTTTCATGACAAACATTTCTCACTTTATATCAATATCTTCTCACGTTCTCTCACTCTTTATCTCTTCCTTTCGAGTTCTTTCACTGAATTATACATCTCTTTCATTACAACTTCTCTCAATTTCTCCTCTCCACTCTCTCTTATGTGCTGTGTGTATCTCTCTCTTTTTTCTTACTCAAACAAAAACAATTGACAGGATGGTAATTGAAACTAATTATTGCACGTCAAACAAACATTTAATCACTAATACCACTATTTCAATGACTTTAGAAAATGAATCATCCTGTAATATGGCAACTCCCATCGTATCAAGTTTGCATATTTACATCGGCTTTACTTACAATAAGTATAATGATTAACTTGTAAAATAATAGTTATATTCACAGCAATAGTAATAATAATGATAATGAAAATAATAATAATAACAGCAATACTGATACAATAAATATTATTATCAAAATGTTAGGCACCCATCAATTTGATTCTTGTTTTTTAAATATCTTTTAACTTGCTCTTTTAAAAAACTTCAGGCAGTTCTGAAAATGCAAAAGCACTGTTCATTATAATTGCAGACCCATTCACTAACTAAATTATGCCCTTTTACCCTCATCATCGACAATATTTCCACAATGCATTATTTCATGATAAAGATGGTATATATTAATCTTGCCTTCATTATTAATAAAGCTCTATAAAATAATCTTCTCATTCGCTTTTAAAATGTGTGTTTCTTTCAGGTCATGATCGGTCATGTTCACGTTTGATATTTTGATACTAACGGTTTTACTCTTTCACACAAATCCGGCACAAGTGGATGTTAACATGGCATTTCAACACGATGTTGCTCAGTGAAGCGTGTATAGATTAATGTAATCAATGTATCATAGGAAAGCATATTACTGCTACTCTATATGGAAGCAAGGAATCTTATTATACACCTCATAGATATTCACAACATCTATTCGTTTTCGATTTTCATTTTTTCTGGGACGCAGTGTATAGTTAATAATTTATAAACCGAGCATCTTACTTTAGATTACCCATATTTCACACTAAAACCATATTTGTTTTACCTTAAGTTTGGAAGATAAAATATTGACTTTTGTCTGTCTTTATTCTTTTTCCTTGTCTTGAATTACTTATATGACATGATGTCATGTATTGCATATAGTTTTCATTGAAGGAATGCATTTATTCATTGTATTCGATTTATTTAGGTAATGATTGTGAAATATAAAATAAGATAGCCTTAAAACATGTAAATAATGTCATAAATTGCCGTGTATTTTGACACATTGACGTTACATTATTTGTTTTCGTTATTTCTATTCGTATATCTGATGTATAAGCTTATTACTCGAGACCACAGACAGAACTTTATATTTATATGTATACATGTTTGTATATTTCTATCATAGAACCTATGAATAATTTACTACACAAACTGCACTTTTATGTTGTAATCAAATATCTTTGACGTTTCATGATTTCATGAAGCACTACCTAATATTATACAATGAAGTTTAAACACAGTCTCTTGGCAGTAAAAATGAGATTCTATAAAACTCAAAAAGAACAAACCGCCACTAATTCTAATCATCGATATGATTATTTTCAAATTGCTTGAATGTAAAGATGAAAAGTGCTCTGTTTTTTAAACATCATAAATAAACAATTCTTTTACACTCTTTTTTAAGTGCTCTTCGTGTAAAAATTAGTGCATGGAACTACAAAAAAAACACAAACTCGAACATTCCTAAAGATCTATATTTTTTTTTGTATTTTTTTTGCTGGGGGGGGGGGATATTTACTTGCCTCCATCTAGGGGTTCAAATACAATCAGTGGTGCAACCAGGTGATATGAAAAATGGAAAGAAACCAATACATTTTTTATATCCCCACTTCTTTCTCGCATATGAATCTTAATCGTCTGGAGCAATGCTTATCCTGCCAACTATATCGCTTCGACTCTTGAGAACTAGTATATATATGAAACCAAATTTGAAAACAGTTTACATTCCCGCGAAACGACCCTTGGGTAAAATGTTTATATGTAAGACTTGATCCGTCTAGCCACCTTGCCTCACTGAGACTTAAGCCGGTCAGCCCGATCCAGTAGTTCTCACTAGCACGCTCTGCAATGAAGTCCTGTTCCTCTTGCGACTCGATGAAGACTAGATGGGATCCGTATTGGGAACAAGCTGAAACCGCGGAAGAATGATTCATCTCCGAAGTGCTGAAATTGTAGAACGACCCGCCGAATTCACAATCCACCGGAGGGGATGAGCATGCTGAAAAAGATGAAAATACAATATGTAAACTGTTAACTAGACATGTAATACTTGTTTGGAACAAGTATAGGTGGGCTGGTCAACTAAAATTTGAGACAAAATAGAGCAAAAAAAGCGATATACTGCTAAAAAAACAATGTCATGTAGATCAATGATGTGAACGAAATTCACCTTTCATAGGCATAATACGCGACTTAAGAAATTTCTGATATGTGCCCTTTAATCGTAATTTTCACTATGATGACGTCATCAAAATGAAAAATGGTGCAATTAAGCTTGTAGAGAATTGTCTTAGCTACATCATATCAAAATTTGGAAGAAAATCGATCAATATTTACAGAGATACAATCAATTTTACATAAATATGCTGACGTCATAATATGCAAACTCGTATTTTGAGTTCCAAGGCCATTATGATGTTGTCACGATACACTTAATGGCTAAATGAGACATGTAATCATATCTCCGACTCATCTTCTATCTAAATATGAAAACAAATTGAGGGTCCCGGTGCATTCCTAAGAGCTATAATGGATTTTGTAGTGGCATATTTTTGCCCATATATGCTATGTATTAAAAGAGCTCGCGCGCACGAACATTTATCTTGAATGGACGCTCATCTTGTTATTAATGGTCATAAAGAAATAAACATGGTATCAAATTGTTCGAAAAAATATGGGAAATATCATGAAAGAAAAAAAAATGGCGATTCTATGTTTTGTAATGGTGTTACGCGCGAAAACGCGCGCGCATGCGCGTGTGCGCGATTTTTTAAATAAAAATGCTTAAAATGGCCTAAAACGTATGCAAAATGATTTTGAGATGATTTTGAGCATTTCAAAATTTTGCGCGCGCATTGACGCGCGGACGTACGCGCACGCGCGCGTTATTTGACTTTTTATTGACCGGACGGATATTGACCTTGATCATGATAAATATGAATAAGAAATACCTTTTGGTTATGAAGATATGATCAAGAGTTGTTTTTCGTAAAATTTTACAAAATGGCGCCTAGATGATGTCATCAGTGAAGGTCAATGTTGAAAACGTTATTGTGCTTTGTACATATGCCTATACATATGTGTGCCAAATTTCTAGGCATTTGATTGAGCCATTTCCAAGTTATCTTGCCAACAAAAAAGTGGTTAGAAATAAGAAAAATATATAAATAATAAATAATAAATAAATAAAGGCAATTCTAACGAAATTATAAGGTGGTCTGTACGTTATACAGCCGACCTGATAATAAAGAAATAAATAAAGGCGATTTTAACAAAAATATAAGGTGGTCTGTATTAGATACAGCCCACCTGATTAATCAATTTTAAGAAAGTAGGCAAAGTGATTATTTGGGTAGAAACTGAAATATTCAAAGACAAATTATTATTATTCTCAACATTATTATTATTATCGTTATTATCATTATTATTATTATAATAGATAATAGATAATGATGATGATAATGGCGAAAATAATGATAATAATGATATAGAAAATAATGATACTAAAAATAGATGCAAAGACAAAATAACAGCTTTAAAAAGACTCGGTAACATTAGTGAAGGTTGATGAAAAACTGCGTAATTTTTGTATGAAATGTTACTTATTATATTCCTCACTGGACTAACCCTCTAACATGCAAAAAAAAATCATGATTTTTTTTTAAACCACAAAGATATTTATGGTTTTCTTTGAAGGCGTCACTGGTCAACACCCTCTAACAGTAAATTCTCCAAACCATTTTTGAATTTTCCCAACCGTTTTTCCATGAAAATAAGACAAAAGACAGGCTTTAAAAAATATTTCGACACTTAAATATCTGGGATGGTATATAAAACCAATGCATAGCTTTGTGATGATTTACATTCACCTAAAATGTAATTAAATTGTAATAATATAGTTGGGAGAATTAAGGAATCGATCAGATCAGTTCTTCCCCAACAGTTATCATTAATAATGGTGTGCTTTCACTAGAATTTTCATATTATCTTTAACTGTATACATGTAGCATTGTAGTCATTACCTTAACACCACTTTCTCTCATCTGAATAATGTTACCAAGTCCCTTTAATGATCAATCAATACCTACAAAAACTCTCCTCACTATCGCAAATTTTGGCCAATTTATGAATGAAAGAGGGGAAGGAGAAAGAGAGAGAGAGAGAGAGAGAGAGAGAGAGAGAGGGGTAGTGGCTAGACAAAATATAATGATGATCAAAAGCATGACATCATTTCATTGTATCTCTTACTTACTGGAGGTGGTGGTGTTTTGCGATGTCGTTGTGTCTGACATCGTGGTCGTAGAACTCGTCGTGGCCTTGGTCGTCGCGTCCGTAGTCGATAATTCTGCTGACTCTGAAATGTTTGAGGGTTGTAAGAAATTAAACCACACTTTCAAAGCAATGAGATTAGGAATGACAACCTAAACACGATTATAGAAGGCCAAAACAAAGAAAATTCTGCTACATGATAACATATAAATTGTATCAGTTTACTTATTTCATATGGTATTATTTGTGTTTGTAGATTTAGTGATGCTTTGTCAAAGCCCATGAATTTTTCCAAATAATTTATCTAAATGTGTCTGTTGTCATTAAACTCGTGGGCGAACGAGTGAGACGGGAACCTCCCCCTTAAAAAATGGTCTTAGCGACGCCCGTGACAGGAAAGAGATAAAGACCGAGAGAGAAAGAGAGAGAGAGAGAGAGAGAGAGAGAGAGAAAGAGAGAAAGAGAGGGGAAAGTTTCTCTTACTTGAGGTTGTGGTTTCTTGCTCTTGCGATGTCGTTGCCTCTGATCGTTCCGGCATCGTGGCCGTAGGGCTCGTCGCGGACTTGGTTTTCGCTTCCGTTGTCACCGACTCTGAACGTAATAAAAAAACAAAAATTAATTGAGTGGGGAAAAAAGGAGCCGGAGTCAGGTATTGATAGGGAAACAGACAGACAGAGACAAAGAACATGCGAAGAGGGAAGAAGAAGAAGAAGAAGAACAACAACAACAACCACATGGTCGTTAAACTTACAGACAAAATTTAAATTAAGAAATTTGACGGGCACTAGCTTCCTCCTTATAAAGTGTTTGAGCGACGCTCATGAAAGAATGATCACAAAAATAAATAAGACTAGAACAAAAAAGAATTAGACGGTCACTTCCCCCCTTAAAAAGTGTTTTAGCGACGCCCAGAAAGGAGTGAAAAACAGAGTCAGATATAGACCGAGAGAGTGGGAGAAATAGAGAGAGAGAGAGAGAGAGAGAGAGAGAGAGAGAGAGAGAGAGAGAAGAAGGGGTGGGGTGTAGTGGCTAGATCCTTTTGCTCGAATTCACAAGGGAGGTTTGTCGACAAACCTCCCTTGTGAATTCGGGCCATCATGATCATGATCAAAATAAATGCATGACGTACTCGTGGTAGTGGTGGTTTGGAAAGTCGTTGTGTCTGAGCGTTCCGATATCGTAGTTGAAGGGCTCATCGTAGGCTTGGTCGTCGCTTCCGTCGTTGACTGTATGATCACTGAAAATACCAAATAACAACAACAAATAAACATAACTGAGATAAATGACGATGCATAACATTATTTTCATTGAAATATCTCCCCGCCGGCTGTCTCCACGCGCTCTTAGTCAGGGTACGGGGATAAGGTCAAGAGCGGAGGAGGGGGGGGGGGGGGGGGGGAAGCTGATACAAATCGGAGAAATATTTTCCCGGTGGGACTCCCAATTCTATGAAATAGCTCCGAAAAAGGGCAGTGATGTACTTTCTTTTTAATCATTATCATCCTCTTCTTCTTCTTCTTCAGTTGCAGTACCGGCAAACGTCATGTATTGTCGTACTGGTGAGGTGCAGTGCAGAATGTATGTACAATTTCTGATAAAAGATACAGCAAACTCTTTGCTCTTTGCTTATTCATTGGCCACTCATTATTTGCTCATTAATTGGCCCGATACTATATTATATTACACCTACTTTCATCGCAGTGTCTCCCTTGAAACCCACTTGAGCAGGTACAGTTGTAGCCTACCATAGTCTCTTCACACCAGCCGTTGTTACAGAGGTTTTCGTCACAATCTGCGAAATAAGTTATAAACAGGATAATACTCATTATCATATATATATATATATATATATATAAAGCTTCCAAGTGGTACAATGAATCAGTGTATTTAATATCTTTAGCGTAGTGCCCAGATGACAGATCCATATATGACAGAAAATAATAATAATATTGTATGGCTTTGTTTTCGTGTGATACAAGAATATATTGCTCTTGCTATTACAATATTGGACTCGTCTGCGACTGGTTCAATATTGTCATAGCGATAGCAATATATCGACGAATCCAATATCGTAAACTCATCTGCCGTTTCACCGTTATCAAACGAAATACCAACCAATATAATTATAAACCATCAATAATTAATACTCAAATAACCCAGTAGCCTGAAATTAAATATCAATGAATTTGCTATTAATGGATTGCCAGTCAGTCTTCTCGCTCTTTTGAATAGTCTTCTAAATAAACGATAGTTGTTACTTTTCGGCTGGAACGATTCAGTTTCACAGTCTAACTATGTTTTACAAATTAGGATGGCATTGTCACTGGGTCGTAAAGAGTTTTAGTTCCCAGGATTATCTTCGACATTCGATTGAGTTAAAACAGAACAAAAATATAAGATATTCTTCTTGTCATGATGGGACAATAATTTTGTCACATACATTTTTTATTATCATTATCATGATTATTATAATTGTTGTTCTTGATATCATTAATGTTAGCATAATAATCATTATCATTATTATATTATTTTATCATCATTGTTACTAATATTGATATTATAATCATACGTATTCATATTATCATCATCTTCATTACTATTATCATATTTTTTTCATCGTTACTATAGGATTTCCCGGCCAAATTCCCGAGTTTGTCATTCGAATTCATTTACTTTGCATTTAAGGTAGCGCAGATCAGCTTTGCCATGCCAATTATCATTCAATTTTCCCGATTTTGTATTTGATTTAGGATTTTGGTCGAAGGATTTCATAGATCTGTCATTCAATTTAGAAACTGCTCAACTAGCAATCAAATTAATCGTCACTTGTCGAGGAGTCATTTTTATCATTCAAATTAACACCTGTCATTCGTATTCGAATTATGTTTATTCAAGTTAGGAATGTTAGGGGGAAGAAATGCAACACACGTTTACAGCTTAAAAAAAATGCAATTAAATACATGATTTGCTATTGGGGTCTTTCCTGTTATTCAATTTATTAATTTTAAGGACAAAGCATATGTTTGTAGTCAGACATTAGGTAAAGAAGGGGCGAAATCAAGGGATATGGCATCTCTGAACGGACATGTTCATATACCCCGGAAAAGTGGGGACACGAAAACACCTACCCCAGTCACAATATTGTTCCCTTCCTCCATAATGAAATTGGGATAAATTGATGATGAAACACAAGACAAACAACTTCCTTACATGAAAATTTACACAAATATTGAGACCATCAACTCCGTAGATGTACAGTAAGTTTTCTTTTTTAACAATCAAACTTAAAGGCTGATGAATATCTGATAAATCTAAAAGTATATAAAGAGTATAAATGCAAGAAAATAAAATAGGATGAAATACACATGAAAAAACGATCATGAAAGAAAAAGAATGAGCTTTAAAAAGTGTTTAAAAACGGGAAATTAATGTATATTGACCATTAATTTTAGTGCACAAAGTACTAATTTGAATGCTACAAATGAATTAGAATGCTAAAAGTACACCGTCGCGATGTCAGCAAATCGTGTTGCGCTAAATCGAATGACCAAATAGCGAAAGAAGCAATTTGTTCATTAATTGGAATGAAACATACATAGATTCTAACGAAACCTTCATAGATTTGAAATCTAGAAAAAGGAATATAAACCCGAGATATACCCGACAGCACTAAAACCGTCGAATTTGAACGCAAGACAAATTAATTTGAATGACAAACTCGCGAATTTGGCCGGGAAATCCTATATTACTATTACATATTATCATAATTGTTATTGTTAGTAGTAGTAGTCATCGTAGTGTAAGTATTAATATACGTAGCAGTAGTAGTAGTAGTAGTAGTAGTAGTAGTAGTAGTAGTAGTAGTAGTAGTAGAAGTAGTAGTAGAAGTAGTAGTAGAAGTAGTAGTAAAAGTAGTTGTAGTAATAATAGTAGTAGGAGTAGTAGCAGTAGTATATTAAAGTAGTAGAAGTATTCAGTAGTAGTAGAAGTAGTAGTAGTAGTAGTAGTAGTAGTAGTAGTAGTAGTATTGTTAGTAGTAGTAGTAGTAGTAGTAGTAGTAGTAGTAGTATTAGTATTAGTAGTAGTAGTAGTAGTAGTAGTAGTAGTAGTAGAAGTAGTAGTAGTAGTAGTAGTAGTAGGAGTAGTAGTAGTAGTAGTAGTAGTAGTAGTAGTAGTAGTAGTAGTAGTAGTAGTAGAGGTAGTATTAGTAGTGGGGTAGAGGTAATAACAGAAGTTGTAGTAGTAGTAGCAGTAGTAGTAGTAGTAGTAGTAGTAGTAGTTGTAGTAGTAGTAGTAGTACTAGTAGTATTGGTAGTAGTAGTAGTGGGGTAGAGGTAATAACAGAAGTTGTAGTAGTAGTAGTAGTAGTAGTAGTAGTAGTAGTAGTAGTAGTAGAAGAAGTTAGGAGTTGATATCAAACTTTAATGATATCACTGAAGTCCGTGTTATCTGCATGTAGATTGATTGATTAAACAAAGAAACGAATTTGACATATGAGAACAAAAATGAATAAAAAATGAAACCTACACGGGATTCTGCATATTCTATGCCCGCCCGGGATCCCTTCTTTACTCTTCCTTTGGTGGCACCCGCCGATGACAGAAGGGAAAGGGATGAGTTTGGGGATGCTCTGCACCATGCTGCCATCCTTGAGTCGCATCATCTTACACTTTTGGAACATGGGCAAAGTGTAATTTAGGCCGTACCAGTCTGAACAAGATGTCCTATCCGATAACACAGGCAAGGCTGTGAAGAATATATAAGAAAATTCATTGCTAATTGTTTTTTTTATCCTCCTCCTCCTCCTCCTACGCGTCTTCTCCTCCTACCAGACCTGCTACTTCTCTCCACCCCCTCTTCATACTCCTCTTCCTCCCCATTCCTCCTCTCCTACTCATCTTCATATAGCCCTCCTCGAGCCTAATCATCATTCCCTTCCCTCCCTTTACCGCTCATCCTCGTCCTTGCCTTACACCCTCTTCTCAATCTTGATGATGCAGGTTTTTTTACATATATTTTGAAACATTTATTAAAGAGACTTTTTTTCGGATGTGTTTTTTGGTTTGAGATGCCATGTTCATTAGGTCAAGTTTGAGGGCATAAATCCTTGTCAATGGTTGTGTCTGCAAAATGTGACTATACAATTGGCTGTGTATACTTCAGCTGCTTGTTTTGATACAGCCAGAAACAGGCAGATCTACGCTCTGCTCAAGGATTTATGAATTGTGATAAAGTTTCAAAATCAGTCTGTGCTTGCAGACTAACTTAGGTTTTTCACTTTGATCTTATTTCGCTTTATTGTGGAAATTTTGAAAGCCAGCTATGTTTCTGCAATATTCAACAAAATATTACGGATATGTTAAGTTAAAAAAAATACTTACCGAAAGACAAGCAGGTTACGGTACCAAGCAGCAACTTCCAAAATACACCTATCTTTGGGTCTTTAGCCTGTATTTAGAAAAAATATTAATATTTTTTAAATCAGCAAGAACAAGAACAAACAACAACTGAAGAAATAACTGTGATGAGCATTTTGAAACGGATGATAACGGTAATACTGATAATGGTGATGATGATGATGATTATACGAGCAATTACCGTTACTTATACAACACATACATGTTCCACTAACGTAATTGATGAGACTTTCACATCTGTCAACGAGATTTTATAAAGGTTTTATTGGCCAATTTCGTAGTTTTTCCAGCAAATTTGATAAAACGTTCGTTCAATTTATCGTAAACACTATTTTTGGTGGAGACTGTCATTTACTTTAGGGGATTGGGCAGGTTTGTAAAAACAAATTTACCCAGGGGGAAGCAGGTTTTTGAGACATGGAATGTCGTTAAAGGTCGGTGGGTATCAACGTGTGGAGGGAACCCCCCTGCACCATTTCTAAGTGGACTTCCTTGAAAATATACTGCTGGAACAAAAAATGGCGGCCATTTTCCAAAAATACTGTTGAACTATCTTTGAGATCACTTTTTACCATGTGTGAGATGTCATATGAAAAAGAATTAAATTTCATACGGGGTGATAACACATTTCATTAAAAATGTTCTTTGATACATATCATCATAAGTGATCTTTTTTGCATTTGGGTTTCGTTACCTTTGAGTTTTCAAAGGTTACGAAACCGGTATTCGAGATAACGACCTTATGCTCCTTACGTATGTGAAATGGCGCAGCGGTCAGACAGAATTAAAATAATAATGAGACAAATTAGTAAACTGTTCAAAACAACGTAAAGGTTATCCTATGCATTGATACAAGATAATGTGAAAGCTTAACTATACATTGCATCATTTTAAACAATGAAGCACCAAATCACGAGGCAAAATTTAACTTTTAAGCATTATCCACAATGGCCTGACTCAAATTCGTTCCATCAGCCCAAACTTGGTACAAGGTAAAACTTTTTAAAGACCGTGGTGCTTATTCACTGCGGGAGGAATATATTATGGATAGGCTATCATTTGAAAGAAAATTACTTACTTTTCATCATGAACAAAATTTCAAAGTCATATTAGTTACGAATTTGTATTAGGAGCTACCAAAGTTGTGTACACTTTTTTTATACGCACTATACATTAAAACGGGAGTTACATAGTATTTCAGTCCCCGATCAGAGACACGGTTCAGGACTTATATGTGATTATGCACCAGGACATGTATATGATTATGCACCAGGACTTATATGTGATTATGCACCAGGACTTATATGTGATTATGCACCAGGACTTATATGTGATTATGCACCGGTTGCACACATACTATCAGTGATGCCCTGGAGAAGCTGAAGCCCGTTAGAGGTTATAATATCAGTTACAAACTCCACACACTCTTGCAAGCACCAAAGATTCTTAAGCACATTGTGAAAAGTGGAAGAGGTAAATTCATGAGAAAATTTCAAATGCGATCCCCTTCACAACCGCCTACGACCACCTGCTAAATGACCAGATATCACAATAAAGTGGAGGTGAAAGAGACATTGTAGATTATAGGTAGCAGCAGAGGATGCTATCATCAGGTATCAGCAATGTCTATTTAATTTACAAGAAAAACATAGGTGTGGAATACAAATTAATTCAGAACCCAGAGCCCCGTCTTATAATTAACAGTTGCGATTTATCCACACTGAGGAGCCCAATGCTGCCTGTCCAAACCAATTTTACATTGAAATCAATTCACAACTCTGTATAAACCGTGACGTATGTACGGATTATGGCGCCCAGAGCAATCGATGAGACTGCACCCCCCCCCCCCGCCCACACACACATACTTTCGAATGTTTCTACGTAACTGTGCAAGCGAGGGAGCAATGCGACCGGCTAAGGAAATTCGCAAGGGAGCGCAGCGATCTAGTAGTAGTATAGAGTACATAGATAGGTCGTTTTCTATTTATTCTTCATTAAGTGTTGAACACAATTAATGAAAATTGTGGAGTAATACAGTTGAGGGATTAAGCAAGGTTACCAAAATCTAAGATTGTTTTAAAAAGTTGAATCGCATTTAAGAAATTAAATTGTATTGATGTCAAATTTGGAACCATTTGAAAATGCTATCCCATCCCTCCCCCCATAAACTATCTATATTTGGGCACAAATTACGAGATCGGGTCCATAATTTATGCGAGTCGCATCCGAGCTTCAGAAAATGTTCTATTTCTAATGCATTTTATCTTGCATATTGGGGCGCATGTATAAGGATAAATAGTTTTCTACCTTTTCGCCGCTCACGTATCTCTCTTTTACCGTTTTGCGCTCCTTTTTTGTGCTCTCTAAAAAATCACGTGTCCCAGCCCCCATAGAGATGCCACTGTGTAAATTAAACTGTATTAATCAAAACTCTTGATAAAAACACTGTACTAAACCCATTCATGTTACTGTATTCTTACTGATGATGTAAATAGTTTTTTTTCAGAAAGCAGTACTTGTAAATTTTAATTTGGGTCAAAGTGTATATAGGGAAAGTGGGGGGACTCCGAGAGACATAAGCCGGGTAGGGCATTGGCGTGTATGTTCTCTTTTAAATCATCAAATAATTTGCCAAGACTCCTTTCCCTCATTATGATGATATTCCAAGTTTTCGACGTTATGGTAAAAATGTCATTTCGTTTATAAAATTACCTCAGACCAGATGTATTCAATCAAGCATTTAGCGACATATAGACTCGGATATGACGTTATTCCGGCAACTTGCTGCCTGGATACGAGGTGACGGTTGCCCAAATGTCGATACGTTCAAAATAATCAGGGGAGCTGAGTATCTAGTTTTTATAGAGTGATACCGGTCTATTATTTTAATCCAGGTCTTTTATTATTGTACACATGGCTGGTTCAATAATGTATTATACAAAACAAATAATTTACACCCGTTTTCAAAGTAGGGGAAGGAAAGAGGAAATACATTGACAAACATGTTTCGAAGCCAGTTGGACAATTATATTTTAAATGTATTGATAAGATTCCGTGGGAAAAGAGACTAGTTTTGGATTGCAATGAATGTACTATAAACATAATGCTTTGCACGAAAAAAATGTTGTTCTAGATGAGAGAGAGAAAGAGAGAGAGACAGACAGACAGACAGAGAGAGGGAGAGAGAGACTGCGAGAGAGAAAGAGAGAGAGAGAGAGAGAGAGAGAGAGAGAGAGAGGGAGAGACTGAGACTGATGGGATGGGGGAAAGGGGTCGTCACAGAAGGGGATAGGGTGAAAGTTCTGAACCCCATTATCCATTATCTTCATGTTTCAGACTAAAAATCATGACAATCACCTGAATCCAGATCTTATATAGCCTGCATCATTTTTGAATCTACACCAAATGCCCTACACAACATATTGCCCCCATCCCGAAATTGTTCTTGATGTTAGTAAGGGCGGGGGGGGGGGGGGGCGTCAAAGGATGGGTGAGGTATACACTATGCCTATGTTTCAGAGAGCAAATCATGTCTGTCACTTGTAATATTTTATTTATTATTTGACCGATAGCCTAATTTGATTTCAGAGAACACATTTATCGGTTGCTATGGAAATTATCGCCATATTAACAGAAATTAAGAGACATATATCATAAAAAATATGGAAAAACTGTCATCACCTGACATCATTCTTCCCAACAAAATAGTCATCTGCTTAAAGATAGCGTCTACTCGCGATATATTCTATTTTCATCTATTTTACAAACGCTTAGGAGCAGACAGCCCTTAGCAAACACAATTTCCATTTTAGCTCATATCAAAGTGACAAATTGAGAGCGCTATAACTTTTTTGTTACAAAAGCAATGAACTTGGATATGATATAAAAAATGTTCATAAAGTCCTAAGTCAGTAGTCATCATACTTGATAAATAAATAAGGACAAATAGGTATTTGGGGGTAATTCATATGTTTGGTAGATTTTTTGAAAATTTACATTTTTGGGTCAAACATATTATGCAAATCATCCCCGAACCTACTTAATATTATATCATCTTGTGCGAAACTTATAGTCGTTCATATGACACCTCACACATAGTAAAATGAGGTTCCGTTAAAAAGTGATGTCCAAAATTGTTCTACAATTTGAAAGCAGCATACTTTCAAACTAGTTCACCTAAAATGTCTTCATTCAAATTCATCGAAGAAAACTGAATAATTTTAATGAACGAAATGCTAAGTCGGTTGCTCAAAATGATTTTGAATGTATGAAGGACAGGATTACGTGATCGTGTCATACTAAAATATATGCACGCTTGACGAAAAGCGTACATAACCCATGAATTTGATTGAGGAACATGTTAATTTGAATCGAACTCGAATTTAAATGCACAGATCATAAATTTGTACTTTCGAATAGCAAGATTGGGACAAGTCAAATTTGATATGGATTGGAAAGGTTGCGAAATTGGCCGGGAAAATCTATACTTTCTCTTCTTTTCTGTTCTTTAAAAATCTTCTCCTCTTCTTCTCCTGATTCCTTTTTTATTTTCTATTTTCCTCATCCTTAATCTTTTTTCTTCTTTTTAATAGGCCTGATGTAGATCAAATATGGACGTTCAACTAAAAAGAGCATGAAATTTGCCTAATAGACCAGTTCGTAGTTAGCAAATATTAAACAATTGTATGGAATGTTCACTACGAAGAATCCAGTCTAAGTCAAGCTTTTGCTTTTTTGGCTGAAGTCTCATGTGCAATTATATTTCTTTAAACTTGAACCACACAGCTATTATTCATTTAGTAATGAGACACTCTCCTTTTCATCACATGAATGTTGCTTCCTATATCATGCCTCTCTGTTTGATTCATTTATGAAATGTTTAATTTAAGAAAAAAAATCTATTCTCTTTTTCTTGTTTGTTTTACACATTAATTACCTTTTATTATTTTGAAATGTATCATATTTTGTTTTCCCTTTTCCTCAAGCGAGGTTTTTATTTCCATAATTTTAATACATATTAACATTAATTACTATATAATTGAATGAAGAATAAAATCGGCTAAAAAAATTTCCAGCTTAGTATTTTTTTCTTTGCCAACACATTCATACCTTAAAAACAATTTTAGCAACGACTTGAATTAAAATTACAAAGTATGCGGGTAAATAACAAAACCATTTACAATCTTGCATAGGCCTATTGCAAATAATTAAAAAAAATATTCAGGAGAGTATATTTCTTGTTTCTTTATGTCCTTTCCTACAACCAATATAGTTTGGTTGATTTGAAGTTCTTCTTTGAATCGGTGGAATATCAAAATATATATTATTTTCCAAAACATAATTACATCCTTGCAATACATCAACAAGTGAAACGTTTAATCAACTTTTCACAAGTGCATAAATTATTATTCACCATTTGCGATTTAAAACAATTTTCTTTGAGGCAATAATCTTGTGAATCATCGTGAAATAAAAAATGTAAACTTTATTATTACGAATTTGCTTTAATTTAAATGAAAATACATCATTTCAAACGAAGTCATTATCTAAATCTAGAAATGTATCATGTATATGTATATATCAAAACGGGCATGAAGGAAAGCGGCAATGAATTCAAATCAGGCTCATGATGGCCATTTCACTATGATTTAAACAGAAACATTAAAATACTTACCATTTTACAAATCAATCTTCAAGGGCCTCCAAAAATAATCAAACAGCACGATGATAACCTGACCTCTTTCTCGGATAAAAAATGAACAAATTTGGCAACGAAGAAAACAGCTGCTTGAATACAGAAAGGCGGGAAATATTAACTGTAAGATTCAAACTGTAGGCTAATGCTACTGATCAA